AGAAGCTAGGCATGGGGAAATCTAGACTAGTGAATCATGTGCAGCAGGACATAAGCTTGGAATGTGTGAAGAATGGAATGAAGCCTGTGTGGCTGGAGTGTGGTGTGTACAGGGAAGACTAATGCATGAGGCTGGAAAGGTAGCTAATATAGGGTCTTCTGGGCCAATGTGAGCAGTTAGATTTTATTCAAAGTACAGGGGAAAACCTTCATGTGTTTTAAGCAAAGGAGTGATTCAGAATTAATTTACTATTTGGAAAATAACTGAGTTATGAAAGGTAGACTTAAGATAAGTAGATTTTACTGACATGGAATAAGGTATCACTGAAATTGGCAGCTTAAAACAACAACTATATCATCTCACAGTTTCTGAGGGTCAGGGTCTGCAAGCAGCTTAGCTGCATGTCCTGGGTTGCAGTCAGGCTGTGGCAGGGGCTGCAGTCATCTGAAGGTTTGATGGAACCTGGAGGATCCATGTCCACACTCACTCACATGGCCATTACCAGGAACCCTCAGTTCCTCACTACCTGTACCTCTCCATAGGGCTGCTCCCAATGTGGAGCAAAGTGTCTTTTCTTAACCTAACCTGAGAAGTAACATCCCATAATTCTTCCAAAATTCTGTTGATCACACAGACTAGCCCTATATGGTATAGTGAAAAAGGGGATTATGTAGGACTATAAATGCCAGGAGGTGGAGATCAGAGGACCATCTTGGAGGCTGGCTGCCATAGTGGGCAAGAACAGTAGCAGGAAGACATATTATATCCTACTGTGGGATATTTACTATGTTGTACATGTCTTTACAGGATGCCGGCGGGACCGGGATGGCTATTACTGGATCACTGGCAGGATCGATGACATGCTCAATGTATCTGGTAAGGGCCCAGGATCCCCTCCCATCTCATTTGCTTTGTTCCCTTGGCAACTCTCAGCCAAAGCCTTCTGCGTTAAGACTGTCCTTCGGTTAGACCATGTGTGGAATGTGGCAATCAGTTCTGGACCCGGGTCTTGGAGGAAGAGTGATGTGCACTGAAATGTGCCTGAAAGAGGGGATCCAGGGTGGTGCGGTGCCTGGAAGCACGTGTGTGGGAAGTGAATGAAGGGCATTCCCCATTTGAACCAGATAGGGGCTGCTTTGTGGGGACAGATGGAATAAAGGCAAAGGCTGGGTTATCTTTTATGGCATTTCCTTTCTTTTGACAAGGACACCTGCTGAGTACGGCAGAGGTGGAGTCAGCACTTGTGGAACATGAAGCTGTTGCAGAGGCAGCTGTGGTGGGCCACCCTCATCCCGTGAAGGGCGAATGCCTCTACTGCTTTGTCACCCTGTGTGATGGCCACGCTTTCAGTCCTACCCTCATTGAGGAGCTCAAGAAGCAGAGTGAGGAGCTTCCCTGGAAGGGACTGCAGGGTTTGCAGATTGTTGGGAAGGGACTGCAGTGAGCTATTCCCCAATCCTCAAACAGATCCCAGGGTGTCCCTTGGGCTGACTGATTTCTTCCCATCCAGTCTCCACTGCTACTGGTCTCTCCACTAGGAAAATAACAGCCAGTGAGCTGGGGATATAGCTCGAGGTAGAGTGCTTGCCTACTATGTACAAGGACCTGGGTTTGATCTTCAGCATGGGAAAAAAAAAAAAAAAAGGCTAACATTTATAGAATACTTTCTCTGTACCACCACTGGGCACAGTGCTTTAAATGTATTACCACATTTAATCCCTCCTGTTACTTCCACAAACAGATCATCTTATTAATCTAGTTCCTAAAGAAGAAACTTCTTTCACAGAGAAGTTAAGCCACTTGCCTATTGCTACCTAAACTCTAGCAGTCTGGTTTTAGAACCACAATTCATGAATTTGGGTTAAAATAAGAGAGTAAAGCAATGTGTTAAAAGAGAGAGAGAGGCAGTGAGGCTGAGAATGACTCTGTGGGCAGGAGCTTGAAGAGGAGATGTGGGGAACAAAGCTATCTACTTTGGCTTTGGGGAGTCAGGCTAAAGGTGATAAAGAAATGTTTGATGATTTGTTGGTTACAGTTAGAGAAAAGATTGGCCCTATTGCCACACCAGACTACATCCAGAATGCACCTGGTTTGCCTAAAACACGTTCAGGTATGTTCAGAGGCCTCCAGGTATTGAGGTGGGCTAACTGATGGTGAGATGTGTGGATTTTTGAAAAGACTGGTGTGGGTCATTACTATCACTAATTAACCAGAGGTCTGTGGTCTCCCAGGTAAAATTATGAGGCGAGTGCTTCGGAAGATTGCTCAGAACGACCATGACCTGGGGGACATATCTACAGTGGCTGACCCATCCGTCATCAATCACCTCTTCAACCACCGATGCTTGACCATTTAGTGAACAAGACTCTGTCCTTTACCTAGGGTCTCCCTGCCTGGCTCTCCAGAGTTCTTCCCATCCTCCCTGCCCTGCATCAAGGAGTACCAAAGTCCAGTGCTGACTCATACTTTGTCCCTGAATGGAGAGAGTTTTCTGTGACTTTGAGGCAGAAGGGACAAGGCCCAGGTCATCCCAGACTGATATGGGCCCAGACTCCAAAAAGCCCTCCATGCGAGAGCCTGAATGCCACGTTTCCAAGCCAGGTTAGGTGTTCAGGGCAAATGAGGGCCTCGACTGAAGCAGAGGGACAGCCCTGCAGTCCTCAGTCAGTCCTCATAGTACTTACCTTGAGTAGGCATTTGCCTTAGAAATGACAAATTTATGAATCCAGGAATGTTATTTTTTTAAAAAATGTTGCTACTTCTGTTGTGAGTCTGAATTCCCTGACAGATGGCCATACTGGCTGCCCATGTGCTCTTGTGGCTGTGCAGGTAGGTTCAGTCCTGAGGGTTTCCACATCATTGGCTTCTTTGAAGGAGTACATTTGTTTTGTTCCTAGGACCAGAGGAGCTTGTCTTGTCTTGTTCTCTCCCACCTGTCCCGAGGGACAGAGCCCTGCCCATAAGAGACACTCTCAGATGAAACTTTCTTTTCTTTCCCAAGTCATGCTTAAGCCTCATGGTTGGAGGAATAAAGTCTGTGACCTTGAGAAGGTGACTGGTGTTCTTAGGTATCTTTTAAGCTATGCACTCATTGTGTCCAGCAGCTAGGAAGGGCAGTGGTATTCCTGAGGACGGCCCTACTATCTTTCAGAACTTTTGGTGTGGATAGAGCTGGCAGGGCTTCACTGATAGGACCTTTGGTGAGTTCCTAAACTAAGTAGGAGTAACTGAAGCTAGATCATAACCAATCATAGTTGCCTTCCCACCTTTGAGGGTCCCTCTCTCCTCCCTATGAACCTGTGGGAGCATAAGTGGGTGACAAGGATTGGAACTTCAGGGTGCCATCCACAGGGTCAAGGTCTAAGGAGACCCTGAGTATAGCCCAGGTACATTCCCTGCTCCAATCTACCTTATGTGGGCTGACCTAGACTACAGCACCCCTCAACCTCTGTACACAAAGCAGCGAATCATTGAATCAGCAATGTAGTTTTATTAAGGCAGAGCTGGGGAAAGGCTATGCCCCTCCACTCTCCTTCTATTCAGTCCTATCCCAAGTCAGGCACTGAAACTTGCTGGAAAGGCTCATGAAGGGTCAATAGGAGGGTGACAGTTTATGGACCTTTACATCAAAGGAGCTTCTCTTCCCACACCCTAAGGCTTAAGAGCAAACACAGCTTTCTGGTCCTCAGGTGAAGAACTGGAGGAAGATACTCAGCATTTACTATTCCTTGAAGATCCTGGAGGTCTTGGAAGAGACCAGCCCTCCTCAGGTTGGAGGAGGATAACCCCTCAGCGGGGGTAGCAGGGGAATGACAAGCACAGAAAATAGAAGGTCTCATGAGTGAAGTCCAGGCTATTCAGGCTGTGTCCTCACACAGGGTATGGGTTGTCCAAGACTGCCACTCCTGCTGCCACGCCACCATCAGCATGCTCGATGGCTTTGGTTCGAAGTAGATGCCCCACATGCTTGTTCATCACCAATGTCTTTCCCTGTCTACAGAAATGGGGTCAGGAGGCACATATCACCAAACCCAGAATGGGACCTTGCCAGGTCCCAAGTGAGCAGTACAAAGACACTGGCTATACCTAAAAGTGCTAGGACTTTAGCTGTATTTGGGTTTGCTTCCTAGCTTGGAAACTACTACTGTGGCTGTATGTCTTTGAGAAAGTTCTTTAACCTTTCAAATGGCAGTAAAGGAAGAAAGTAAGGAAGCAAGCAGGCAAGAAGGCAGGCAGGCAAGCAGAAAAGTTTTAGCATGATCCAGGCTCACATTTCATGTCTTGAACTATAAATTTATTTTTTGACCTCACTCTTAAGATGACGTGATGGTATGGGAGGAGGGAGGAGTAGCATGCAGATGGTTCTAGGGGGGAGATTATAGAGAAGGAAGGCTCTGGAAGGGAGCATGGCAGCATCTGGAATCCCTACTTTGCCCTGACCTTGAAGTAAGTATTTTGCAAGAGGACTGCCACAAGGAAGTGGCATGAGTTCCTTACAAATTCCCAAGTCCTCTTCCTGATTCTTAGTGGTCAGATCCAAAGAGCTACTTAGTTCTTTAAAGCCACCAAGTATCATCTAGCTGGCTTACCTCACTTTTCTCTAGAATCCCCAGTGCCCTTGAACCTGCACCTCCCCAGAATCTTCTAGTCCTGACTGTCAGGCCATCTTTTTAGAATTCTTTTGGTACTGCCTGATTTCCTTCATTGTTTTTTTTTTGGTTTTTGGTTTTTCTCCGGTACCAGGAACTGAACTCACGACCTTGCGCTTGCCAGGCAGGTGCTTTTGCCGCTGAGCTAAATCCCCAGCCCCCTGATTTCCTTCATTGTTGCAAAGCCCTTCTTGCCTGGGTGTTACTTGATAGCCACAGAAGGTGAGCAGCTCTTGGGTCCTTGACCTTATTTATTAGACAAAGGCACAAATAAAGTTAGGGATTGGCAGAGCTGGCTTGCTTGGTGACACTACAGCAGGGAGGTAATGGAAAGAGCGCCTCCTGACTTACCTGACATAGACTCCAAAGATACCCAGCTCTGAGATGCACTGGACCACTCTGGCAGGGCTGCCAGGCCGTAGCAGACAATTCCCAAAAGGCTCAGGTTCAATCTTCTCCATGAGGATGTAGGAGGCCCTCTCCTCAATGTCCTTCAGCCGCACCAGGGCTTGTACCATTTCCTCTCCATACAGGTTGTTACCTGCAATTAAACTGACCGGTCTGTGGTCCATGCTGTCATAACCCTAACCTAGGCCTCTATATAGCTCTTCTGAGCAACTATACCAGCCTCCTCCATGGTCTCTCTGCCACCACTGTCTCCCTCATTCCAGGAAATTATCATGATTGAAATACTAAGTCTTGTAAGTCCTCAGCACAAATCCTGGGTCACTAATGTGTCTCTTCCCTGCTTAAAACTCTAGTCTTCCTTCTACCCTTAGGATAGCCTTGAATATGTTTGCTAACATACATTTGTTGCTCTCCGCCCCACCTCATAGTACCAGGGATTGAACCTAGTACCTTCACACTGCTACATCTCCAGCCCTTTTTTATTTTGAGCCAGGGTCTGGCTAGGTTGCTCAGGCTAGACTCAGACCTGCTTCATCCTCCCAGAGTGCTTAGATTACAGGCACGCATTACTACATCTGGCTTCATTGTCCCTTATAATTAGGTTCCAGACCATCTTCCCCAGCCAGGCATGGTAGCACACACCTATAATCCCAGCACTCGGGATACTGAAGCAAGAGGATTGCTGCGAGTTTGAAGTCACCTGGGCCATGTAGTGAGTTCACTGGTAAACTGGAAAACTCCTACCCATCCCTTAAGACCCAGATCAAAAATCGTCTCCTCTGGCTCTATAAAGCAGACATGATCCTGTCCTCAAAAAGTTTAGAAGTAGGAGGAAGATAGATGTGTTCCCTCAGATCTCCTTGTGTACCGTACCCTGCTTCCCTACAATCCACCCACAGGCACTTCAGACTAAAATTGTTCAAACCCTCCAGTACTGGTTAATCAGACTCCCCTGTGTTCCACAGCACCTGGTCCCAGGGTCTTGGGGAACACTGTTCAAGGTGGGACCTTTGTCACTTCCTCTTGTATCTGCCAAGCCTGAGACTATGTCCATACCAAGTGCCAGGAAACACTGGTGATAACATGCTATCCCGTCACTGCAGAAGAGGATTCACCTACCTCCACCCTCTCTCTGGGGCTTTAGTACAAACTGGCTTGGGGCAGCAAGGGCCTCAGCGATGGCCTGGTCCCCTTCTTCACCCTGGCAGAAGGTAGAAAGTAATCACCAGCAGTCCTTAAAGCCAAAGAGGCAGCAAAGGTCCTGCTCACCATGCAGAGCAGCATCGGGAGGAGTAGGAGGGGAAACAGCCATAAGCTCCCTCAGGCTGGACTCTTCTATCTGGATGTGACCCCCAGCGAAACCCTCGCAGCAGTAATGTATGAACAAACCTTTCTCTGGAGGTACACGGCTTTCTAGCAGGTGGCCTGAAGAGTGGGTACAGATAATTCCCCAAGTCTTGCTATTTGTCTTAGTCCCTTCCCTTGGTCACTGCCCCCATCTCCACCTTTGCTGAGGGAGCTTACAGTGGATTCCAGCCCCCCGAGGCTGCTCTGTCTCCAAGGCTCCAGGTGGGGGTTCTCTAGAGTAGCACTGACCCAAATCACAAAGCCAACCAAAATTCCAGCTCCACCCTCCCCAGCACTTTGGACTCCAGGTCTCTGCCACCTGGAAGGCCTGTGGCAGGAAAAAATGAGCTGCCTACGTACCATGTCCAGTGAGTAGAGGCCGGCAAAAGTGGCACGGAGCCTGGCCACAGCCTCAGGCTGGCCAGGGAGCAGCACCTCCAGCACGCCCACCCTGCTCAGCTCCTGCTGCACCTTCTTAGTCCCAGCCAGCTGGGTGGCAATGTCTGGGCACTTGACAGCACATGACCTCTCCAGCAGTAGGCGTGCTTCCCAGTTCTGCAGAGGGAAGAAGATGAAAGATTTCTTTTTTTCTAATTTCAACTGACCTTTACTGAGCGTCCATCAGGTGCCAAGTATTGTGCATTTTATCTTCAAATTGATTTTCTGCCAGGATCACTACAATATCCTTATAGAGGCAGGTGTGAATCTGCAGAGCCTTGCCATTAGGGAACTCATAATTTAGCACCCTGATACATGACCATAATTAAAGGGAAAACAACAAAAGAGGAAAAGACCATCTGTAAGGGCATAGAAAAATTGATAAGGAGGTTTGATAAGCACAGGGTACGTGTTTATGAGCTTAGCTCCCTACTGTATCCCAAACAAAATCCACACTCCAATCTCTGGCTTCTCTTCAAATTGTGTATCTTCTGTCTTTTACCAAATAAAATCCAAACTCCTTATAATGGCTGGCAAGACCCTGCAGGATCTGGCTCCTGTCTGCCTTTTCAATCAAAATCCATGCTGCCACTTCCATCCCACCCCCTGCCTCCTGATTCCCACATTCTAGCTGCACAGGCTTGTCATTCCTCACATACACAGACCTCAATCCCTCAGGACCTTTGCATTTGCTGTTTTCTCTCTGCCTGAAATTATCTTCCTTTTGGCTTTCCTCATGGATGGTTAGATCCCTTTCATCCTTAAGTCTTGGCTCAGTCACCTTTTCTGAGACTTCCCTGACCACTCTATTTAATGTGGTTTCCACATAATTCTCTGTCTTTTTACCTTCTTGTTTCATTTAAAGCAGTTACACCTCAACGAGGGCAAATACCAATTTTCTATTTTTATCTAATTTCTGATGCCCATCTCTCTGATCAGACTATGTATTCCATAAGCACTGGACTTTGCTGTTCATCTTGTTTTCCCTGGTGTCTAATGCAGTTCCTGGCACTTTGCAGGTGCTCAATAAGCATGTTACTATTACTGAGTGAAGTGAGATTTGAGTAGTGTCTGGACAGGCAGAGTCTGACAGGTGAGAGTCTATAGAGTAGGAGTATTCAGGCTAACAGAATAATATGAACGAGATGGATGTGGCTGTGATCCCAGCACTGGGAGACTGAGATCAGAGGATCCCTGTGAGTTTGACGCCAGCTTAAACTACGTAGTGAGACCTTGTCAGAAAACATAAGCAAACAACTCAAATATGAACGAAGACCTGCAGACAAATGGTCAGTTGTGCCACCAGCTTAGCATATAAGAGGCAGGGAAACAACAGAGGCTCATGCCTCCCAGCCCCAGTCCCTATTCTCAAGCATGAGGAAACAGTCTGTCCTTGGCTCCAGATCAAAGCCAACAGGATCAAGGCTAAGGCCTGAGGGGTAACTCTTGCCCCCACTTAAAGGTGTTGACCTGTAGCACCTTTACCTAATCTTCACCAACAACCAGAACCCCTACCCACTAGTCTGCTGCTCCAGGCAGAGTCACAGGAGCCCAAAACATGAGATAAACCTAGAAAGTACTCCATTATGTCAGAAGCAAGCAAAGCAAAACCCAAACAGAAGCAGGGACTTGCTCGGGGTCACTTAGCAAGTTACTAAACCTTGTAGATCTATGTCCATGTTCTAAACCTAATTTGAGCTTCTTGGTTCCCTAAAGATGTCCATTTCCTTACACACACTACTCTTCTTTGTCTTTCAAAGAGTGTGTCTGTCACACTCTTTCTTCCTCTTCTAAGTTTTCCTTGATCCCTTCCCTCATCTCCGTTTCCTGAAACTTGGATCTGTTTTCCCAACAGGCAGTTTCTGTCTTTGCCCAGTACACTGCCAACTGCTTCTCTAGAGGAAAGAACCTCCCATAGTGCTACCACCTCTGTAGAGTGTCCCTAAAGAGCTTAACCCAGGGGGAGTCCTAGCTGAAGTGTAGACCTGGAAGTAGCCCCCTCCATTTTCTAGTGCAGCTCCCATCGCAAACTGAGACCCAGAGGCAGAGTCAGGCTCATGACCCCAGCCCATTACCCATGGTATTTCCTAACATTTCTTTCTTTGCTTTCTCCCAAGGGAAACCAGGCATCTTAGCTTCTGGTATGGATGTTAGGAGCAGGGCAAAAGAATGGTACACTGGGAATGCCATCAGCCTGAAAGCTAGAAAGCCTGAGAACTTCCTGTGCAACCGTAGACAAGCCTCTGCATCACTCCAAATTTCAGTTTCCCCATCTTTATAATGGAGATAATTATACCCCTCTCAGGGTGGTTGTAAGAGTTAAATGAAATAATGAAGGTGAAAAGTACTTTTGAAACTATATGATAGGATAGCAAGATGAGATGGTATCATCACTGCCATGAACTTGAATGAATGGCTAATAAACTCTGGCTCAGATAAAGGAGGGGAGTGAGTAAGAAGATGGTCGGTGGTGTGCTAGAATTAATTTGGATCAGTTAGCAAGGGCTGAGTGCATCCATCTCTTCCCAACTCTGTGCTCAGAGATGTTACGTGGGGTAGCTCAAAATCATAAGACAGAAAGCAAGAAATGCTACAAAATGAGGTTCTTCTCCCTAGAAAAAAATGCCTGTTAAACATTTGCCAGCCTACCTCTGGAAAATGTGTGAATGGTTAACGCACTGTGGATTCCTGAGGATTCAGAGTCTAGAAGACAAGTGTGTTTGTAGAGGTAGCAAAAAGCTTGGAGGATGAGAGGAGGTTCCAGCAGCAAGTTCCCTGAGGAAGAACTGAAGTTAGGATTCCGAGAAAACCCTGGTGGTTGTGATGCCTGAGTTGGGTCTCTGGTGGGTCCCAGGAGGCAAAGAATGGTCTAGCAGAAAATACCAACCTGTAGACTGTACTGCCTGGGCATGTAGCCGTCCCTGAAGTAAACCACAGCAACTTCCTGGCCATCCCTAGAATACACAGTGGAAAACTCCATTGTGTTAAGTTATAACTGCTATGTTCAGTGCACCAAAACATGCTTGGTTTTTTTTCAAAGTCATTACACAGGAAGAGTTGGGACAAGAGTTCATTGGAATTAGTAAAAGTCAATGCCCGTCTCATCAATACTTAGAATGGTTTAGAATATTCCATATCTACAGTCATTCTAAGAAAGCCAAAAGGAAATAATATAACTAGAATCGCATGAGGTAAATTTTTATGTATTTATTTATTTATTTTTATGTACCGGGAATCAAACTCAGGACCTTGCACTTGCCAAGGAAGGCGCTGTGCCACTGAGCTATATCCCCTGCCTGAGGCAAATTTTTTAAAATGTGGATTCAAAATTAGCAAGCAGCAGAATCATACTGCCCTGCCTTAGCAAAAAGAATTGTACTTCCACTGCTTAAATTTCTTTTTGTTCTCAATCTCAGTATCTCTCTCCCTCATACTCTCTCTCTCTTTCTCTCTTTCTCTCTCTCTCTCTTTCTCTCTCTCTCTTTCTCTCTCTGTCTCTAAGTACTGGCATTTAAATCCATAGCCTTGGCACTGAGCTATATTGCCAGCTCTTTTATTTTGTGCTAGGATCTTGCTAAATTGCCTAGGCTGGACTTGAACTGGTGATTTTCCTGCCTCAGCCTCCCATAGGGCTGGGGATTACAACTATGTAACCCCACATCCAGTTCATGGTAGAATTTCTTAAAATGCAAAGATGAGGGATGAAGATGCAAAAATATGAGTCTCGCTAAGACACAGACTTTTTAAACTTCTTTTCTTTGACCTACTTGATACTGACTGGTTTATTTAGGAAGTAAGCTACTTGGTTTTATCACAATAAAAGCACACTTTGAAACACAGTAAGTGGTATTATGAAATTTCATGAAGGTTCTTAACTTTAACAATCACAGAGTACGAGGTATAACTATGTATATTGAAACGCTACCCAAATTGATGGCACTAAAGCCATCTGGTGGCAGCCCCTGGAAAAAAAGGTAGGGGCTGATTTAGAAGACAGATCCAGGCCTGGGCTCAGAGAGTGGCATTGATCAACCAGAGAATGAGCCAGCTTCCCCTTCACCTCCTGATTACCCCGTCTCACTGCTCATGTCTGACTTGAGCAGCCATAAAGAGGAACAAGAAAACTTCTGTGGAGCTCAGGGGCACATGAAAACCAAGGTTATCTTTAGGGATGATGCCCTTCCCAGAAGTCAGCAGCTCTGATACAACCCTGTAGAAGCACAGCTTGCGTGGCCTTCTTCAAAATTTCCAGGTGGATGAGATATTTCAGAAGTTAGAAGTCGGGCGTGGTGGCCCATACCTGTAATCTCAGCAGTTGGGAGGCTGAGGCAGGAGAATCACTGTGAGTTCAAGGCCAGCCTGAGCTACATAGTGAGTTTAAGTCCAGCCTGAACTGCATAGGGAGACCTTGTCTCAAAAAAAAAAAAAAAAAAAGGAAAGAAATTAGAAGAGAACAAAACAAGCCATCTCATCTCCCAGAAGAAAAGATCATTTGGGAAAAGAACATGGCACGAGATGTTTATAAACCAGACAACTAGTGGGTCTTTGGGGATGCTTACATAAACAGCCTCCGGTCTTGGTCCAGAGACCCCTTCTCAGAGACATCTTCAAATCTTCGCCGAATTACATGGATGTTCCTGGGAAAAACGAACAAGAGGCAAAGGCAGTGGGTCCCATGTTCTGAATGTGACCCTCCCCCTGGCACGCCATACCCAGAGGTCCTCCTCCTTTACTTACCTGGCCAGTAGCTCATTTTCTATGGCACGTTGGTCAAATATGTTCCTTTCCTTCTCTTGAGCAATCAGGAGCACTACAGCACTGGAGAAAAAAAGCACAGGTGGCCTGGGCTGCCAGAGAGCTTGTCCTTCCTCTGTCTCACCCTCTTCAGAAATAAGAGAACACAGCTTCCCAGAAAGAGCCGAGGTTCCCTCAACCCAAGATTGTCTCAGGTATATAGACAGCTGAGGCTATAGCACATTATTTTCTGAAAATAGAGAACTTGGCAAAAACAGAACTATCTCTGTACCTTCTCCAGTGAGTAGATGAAATAGTGTAATGATGTCAATTTTTTGTGCAAATTAAAATTTAGATTTAACAACATCTCAAAACCCCAAAGGATTTTTTTTCTTAGAGTTTAATGATTCCATCTCTGAAGTGATTTTCTTGTCTGAAAGAATAAACAATTGGTAATATAGAAGAATATTTTGAGCTAGGCATGGTGGTACACAACTGTAATCTTAGCACTTTGGGAGCCTGAGGCAGGAGGATCTCAAGTTCAAGCCTGCCGTAGGCAATTTAGCAACTTAGCAAGGCCCTGTCTCAAAATAAAAAAAAGCTGGGGATGTTCTCAGTGCAAAGGCCCTGGATTCAATCCCCGGTGCAAAAAATAAATAAAATCAGAATATTTTGTAAATGAACAATATTAGGAGTCACATGCTAATGACTCTTACTACACTGTAAAGCAAATCATAAAAGAGTGTGCTTCTTGCATGAACTATTAGAATAGCTAAATGGAACCCTACAGAAACTCACAGAGCCAATTACAAATAAGGCATTATTTCCTGGGGCCTCCCAATACTTTTGTCATGTTTATACTGCTACGTTTGGTCTCATAGTATTAATAGGTAAACTTACTTACTAGGCCCATGGGCATTCTAGGCCCATTCCTCACCATTTATGTATGTGTTTTTGGAATAAGCAGGGGCTTGAGTACTGAGGGGAAAACTAATGCCAGAGAAATATCTGTTTAGTTGTCAGTAAAGCTATCCTGTATGTTTTATTTTGGGTTTTTGGGAGACAAGATCTTGCTATATAGTTCAGGCTGGCATGGAACTCACTATGTAACCCAGGCTGGCCTCAAACTTGTGGTGATCCTCCTGCTTCAGCTTCCTGAGTACTAGAATTTCAGATGTGTGCTACTATGCCTAACCCTCAGTTAAGCTGTTTTAAGTGTCAAAGATAGATCAAGTCCCTCACCACATTTATAAGGTCAATGCTTAGCAGTGCCAAACTCATTTTTGCTGGATCTATACAGCTTTATGCTTGTGGCCTCTTGCTAAGACCTTTTAGAAGCCCAGACTTTGGCTTAGGATGCTAAGTGTCTATTTCTGACCTCTAGTACTCAGCCTCTTATCTGTTTGTCTCAGCTTCTCCTCTTGGATTAAACTGTTTGCCTGACTTCTTTCCACTTGACCAAAATATAGATCTTAGTATGTCCCCTCTGCCAGCCTGCCTGAAATCTTATGAGGTCAGATGTGAATCTTGACCTGAGCTGGATATCTGAGAGACAAGCTAGGAGTGGTGCTATCATAAGCCATCTTGCTCTGAGAGCCAAAGGTCTTACTCTTCATTTTGCAGCCTAAACTGCTCTGCTTAAGGGTAAATGTGTAGGAGGGTGGCACTTGGCCCAGGCTGGCCCACTTCCAAGCAGAGGTGGAGGAGGAAGGCCGGAGGCTATAGGTTTAAGTAGAATTTCTTTCTTTTGCTTATTAAGTTGGCTTGCTACCTACCAATGGGATCCAGACCCAGAAAACATATTCTGTCTCCTCCTGCCTTCAATTCTGAACAGTCTGAACTGAGTAGGACTAGGAGAGCTGCCAGCCAAGGAAAATGAAGGCAGGAGAGAGGACCTGGGTGCTAGTCCTGACTCTGCTCTTGCTCTCCTTGAGCAAGGTAGTTTCTCTCCCGGGGCCCTGATTTTCTCACGCATGAAATAAGGGTGCTAATTCGACCATACTTCTTAACCCTTTAGCACTAAGAATCCCTTTTTCTTATTCTCATTCCAACTCCAAGATTTTTGTTTTGAAAGAGTTCGTCTAAGTTAAAATAATTCATTGTACAGTCTTTCTTGCAGGGTGGGGGGGTCCTTTTTTTTTGGCAACAAGGTCTCGCTGTATAGTTCAGGCTGGCCTTGAACTCACTATATTCCCCAGAGTGGCCTCCAACTCACAGTAATCCTCCTGCCTCAACCTCCTTGGTAATGGGATTACAGGCATGTGCCATCATGCTATCACGCCGAGCTTTTATAGGCTTCCTTTAAAAAAATCAAAAGCATGAAATGATTAATGAAAATTCATCTGCTCTACAAATTCTTGAGAGCAGAATCCATACTATGGCATCACACTGCTGGGAGATGGTAAAAAGAACCCAGGTTTTAGAGGCAGATGAGTCTAAACTTACTAGTTGTATAATTTTGGGCGAGTTACTAAATCCTTCTGAGCCTTAGTTTGCTGTTGTACAAAATAAAACTACTACAAATCTAATGTAGCTACTATTTTTATTGTTACTACTACTACTGTTACTATCATTATTGAATGTACCACATAATGAACTAAATTTTTGAAAGCTTTTCTACGATCCATGATGTCATGTAATTCTCACTTCTATCCTTGTAGGTATGATTACCCTTACTTTACAAATAAGGAAACTAAATTTCAGAGAAAAGAAATGTCTTGCCATGGTCATGTGTTGGGTCTGCAGAAGAGCCTGACCATCTCTCTCAATGGGAGAAGCCAATTCTGACTGAGGTGCCACATAGCTCTTACCTACCAGTGCCAAATTCATATTGTTCACAGCCTGGCAGAAGCCCTTTGCACTGTTTGCCCATCAGCAGTTCTTTAGTTGACCCATTCTCTGGCTTCACTCTCTTAAAATGTAACCTAGCCAAGAGTGTTCCTTGACAGAGTATTTGTGTGATGACTTCTGCATGCTCAGAGTTCGAGGTCTCCTGGGTCTTAGTAAGGCTTAGGAAGCCCAGAAAGGATCTCTTCAAGGCCAGAGTGATTAAGAATGAGGTTCTGGAGCGGGTAGACTCTGTTCTGCCACCAACTCACTATCTGACCTTTATTCCACTTCACTTCACTTCTCAGAACCTGAGTTTCAGGGCTGGGGATATAGCTCAGCAGCAGAGCACCTGCCTGGCAAGTACAAGGTCATGAGATCAATTCCCGGTACCCCACCACCACCCAAAAAAAAGAACCTGAGTTTCCTGATCTATAAAACTACCTACCTCACAGCATTTATTATGAGGATTCAATGAGATCCTGAGCATAAATCACCTCACACAGGTGGGGCATTATTAAGTTCTCATTAATAAATAACTATTAATGTCATATTAACATTGTAGTAACTTACTTTTGCACCCATTAATTAAATCATTTATGTTCAGACATTTGGAATATGGCTGAAAATTGGGAGAAAGCAAAAAAAAAATGCCTCTAAGCAGTTAAAATGGACTACTAAATCCAAGCTTATAAATTTATTCATCAAAGAGGGAGACCCTCACTCTTTAGACACAATTATTACAACCTGGATCACTTGTTTTTCCAAACCACAGCACACAGGAGGTATAGAGTGAATGATTTCAAATTTAACAACAGGGACGTCGGTAAACATGGTGAGCTGATAATTGGGAAACAAACAGGAAAACCATGAAGAAAATGAATGAGACCTTAAAGCCCAGCAGGGGAATTACAGGTGCAGGCAAAAAGCCTTACATGCTTCTCTAACCCTAGGTGGCACCACTGTGTTTCAGCAGGATGCAGTCACTGAAAAGCATGATGATATCCAGCCAACAACAAAGGTTAAATTATCAGCAGCAGTGCTTAGCTAGCTAAGTGATCTATTTTTAAATTGTTCCATTACTAGAGATGGAGCCCAGGGCCTCCTGCATGCTTTTAACGTACTCAGGGTAGGTTAAGTACTCTACCACTGAACTATGTCTCTCCCCTTTTTGTTTTGGTACTGGGGATTGAATCCAGGGCCTTTGCACTGAGCTACATCTCTAGCCCTTTTTTATTTTGAGATAGGGTCTTGCCAAGTTTACCAGGCTCGGCTTGAACTTTTGATCTCCTGCCTTAGCGCGCACACACACACACACACACACACACACGTGTGCCACCAAGTCCAGCATTGCTTATTTAAGAAGACAGTGGAAAAATCCACTAACATAATTTTAGGACTTAAAAGTATACATTTCTATTCCTAGAAAAATCCCTTCATTTCCAAAAGATGTCAAGCAAAGAAGAAGCTACTGCACCCATGAAGACTGAATCTAAAGCAGGATACTGCTGCCACTTTTTTTTCTTCCCTGGAGACAGGGTCTCACTATGTAGTTAAGCCTGGTAGTTAAGCCTCACTAGGTAGCCCCAGCTGGCCTCGAATTTGTAGCAATCCTCCAGCATCACCCTCTTGAGTGGTAAGATTACAGGTGTGCACCACCAAGCCTAGACCACTTTTTCACATCCTTACTTGGCTGAACCATAGAGCTCCCAGGCTTTGGCGATTCCCAAGGCGAGTCCCTTGCTGGGATTATTGGAGAGGATCTTGGCAGCTTCTTCAGTCTTACTTAGAACACTGAGAACATGTCTGTTGGAAGTAAGATGGCTATTCAGTAACTGGATGGACCAAAAGACCCCTCTGTCCATGACCTCACAGCTACATACAGGAACAGTACTGAGAATCAGCTGAGCATCCTACCATCACGCTCGTGGAAGAACCACTTTAGCTGGAACATGCTAGGCTGCCCTCACCTTAGCCCCTCATGCATATATACCCAAAGGAGCCCCAAGACCCTGTGCAGGGTAGGAGCACCCTACCCCAGCCTCCACATGAGCGTAGTCCCTTAACCTGGACTCCAAGGTGCCCACTGGAATCCTGCTACAGACTATCAGTAATAATAGCTACCTGGAGCATTTTTGCTGGCTAGAAATGGCTAGTCAGCCCCTCACATGGAAGCCCCTTCATTCCTCTATGTCTTTGATTTCAGAATTCCATCAGGCCCTCAGATTTGTCAAGCCCTTTCTCTCTGCAGGCCTTTTGAAGATACCACCCCCTAACACTAACTTGCACAATGAAAGGAAAAGATTAGATAAGCCACTAGGTCCCTTCTCCCTGACATACTAAAGATCTGGTTGCAAGTGGAAACTATGCTGGGGGTTGGGGAGTGAGGCAAGCACATGACCCAGGGCCCAGGAAGGCAGTCAGAGCTGCAGATCCCTGGGTCAGCCAGTGAGTGTTGATCTATAGGCAGAGCCCACAGTTACCCAAGGAGCCCACCGATGCACAGCCGGAGTCCGGGAAGCCAAGCCCCCAAAACTGGCAGAGATAGTGTTGATTTCAATCTGTTTCAGGGCTGAGGAGCCATCCAATCTTCGCTGGAACATGTAGTCTGAACGGTTCAGACCCAGGAACACAGTCTGTGGGGAAAACTGGAAGGTGAGGACATCTGCCCAGGGGCTGACTCTTAAGCGTCTAGCCACAGAGCAGGCAGGTAACATGAATGCTATGTAGAAATAAGAGACACTAGCTAATGCTCCCAAACCCAGTAGGATCATTCTAACCATTCCAGGATTGGTTATTGAGATGTGCAAAACCAGGGAGACCACTGAGAGGTACATTTCCATGAGACCAAGGCCTGAGCCACATACTTCTGGTAAAAATAAAACAAAATAAAATACCAGATATAAAACAGGCAGGTGTGAGACTGGGGAGGGGCTGGGAATGTTTACCTGAGCAATGCCCTCTTTGAGGACTTGCTTGTAGATGTCAAAGAGACGAGCCGTAAATTCATCCCTTTTGATAGTGCTGGAGGGGGAAACACAAGAACATTTTCCAGGATACTTGGGACCTTAAAGTTCAAGGAGTCCCACCCTATCAACTGACTTCTGAATCCTCCCTAGGTCTAGTGGTAAAACATTCATTTCAATCTAGTAAGAGAGTAATGGTTAAGAATCCAGATTTAGAGCTGGGTGACCTGGGTTCCAATCCCAGCTCTTCTATCCTCTTTTAGGCAACCTCAGAAAATCATTTCAGCTCTTTCTATATTAGTTTGCTCAACTATACAATGAAGGGAAAAATAATTAATCATAGATTTGCGGTAAAGAGTAAATGAGCCATTATATGCAAAGAATTGAATGTGTTCCTCTGGTCCCAAGAAGAACCCCAGGATGCCACATGATGTAACTATTCAATACTTGAACAGTTCTGATGATTGGTAAGCTTTCCCACTGACCTAACATTAACTTTCCATAGCTTCCCTTGCACTCTGGTCCTCCAAGGACCTGCCTCCCCGCTATGACAGCCCCTGTACCCCAATAAGATTTTTATAAATATCCCAGTTTTCTTCTTTAGTCAACATATGACGTGACTGCCAGAGAAGCCTTCCCTGTCTGGGTCAGGTCCCCCATAGGTTCTCACAGCACTGTGGCTTTCTTTCTTTCTTTCTTTCTTGCTTTCTTGCTTTCTTGCTTTCTTGCTTTCTTGCTTTCTTGCTTTCTTTTTTGAGACAGGGTCTGGCTATATAGTTCAGTCTGGCCTTGAGCTCACTATGTAGTTGACCGTGAACTTCCAGTGATCCTCCTGCCTCAGCCTCCAGAGTTCTAGGATTATATACATGTACCATCATGTTTATATGATGGACCTCTCTTTTATAGCACTGATTACAGCTGCAGCTTTCCTTTTTATTTGCATGTTGATTAGTGTTCTTTCTAATGTTTGTCCATAAACTGCAGGGAAGGTGGGTCTGGGTCTGAGGGGACTCATCACTGTAGCCCTGTGTGCTGCTGTGACATGTGACATGTGGTAGAGGTCCACCCAGTATGGTTTTCTAGAGCATCAAGAAAGGCATAGTGAGGAGGAATCCAAGGTCATTAACACCACAGTTCTTGCTTCACAAGATTCCGGGCAGACTTGGCACCCTGCCCCAGCCTGACTTGTGGTCTCACCATTATAAGGACCCTACAGGAGAGCAGCAACGGGAGCCAAGTAGCCCAGGCCTTCTCTGAAGTTCCTCTGCTCCTGAGGGTGGGGTCTCTCGGGACTGTTTTCAGCCCTTGGTGAGGACAGTTCCCAGGTGGGCTTCAACCTCCAGGGAAACGGGTACATTTTTCCTTTTCTGACGAGGTGTTCCCCTTCAATCTCAGGTTCTTAGCTGCTGTTCTCCCTTAGGAGCTAGGGTTTGTGTATGTGTTAGTACAGAAGGGAGGAACAGGGCAGGTGGGGTTGCAGAGATGGGCTTCAGAGAAGGTCTTCCACATAACTGCATGGTTAGGGTATAAGTCCTAAGCCAGGCTGCTTATAGTTCCCACAATCCAGAACTGCAGGTACAAAGCAAGGCCCATCCCGAGCAAGAAGATGGTGGTAGCGTTTATACACACACTGGGTTTTTCGCGCCAAGTCAGTTGCTTCTAAACTTCTTGCAAGTACGATCCCTTCTTATATCCACCCTCATGTCAGGATGTCTTTTCTTTTTTTTCTTTCCTTTCCTTTCCTTTCTTTTCCTTTCCTTTCCTTCCCTTCCCTTTCCTTTTCCTTTTCCTTCCCCTTCCCCTCCCCTTTTCTTTCTTGACAAGGTCTTGCTAAGCTGCCCAGGCTAGGCTGGAACTTGTGATTCTTCTGCCTCAGTGTGTACCATCATACATATTTTTTAAAGATATGTTTGCTAACAAAATCTAGTTTTTGTGGAAAAATTAATCAAAGACACATATATGTAACGTATATGTATATATACACACACACAAATAGTATTTATGTGCTTAGTTGTAAAATAAAGAACTTGATTATATTCTATTCAATTCTAAAATAAACCAAGCCATTTTACTTGTTCTAGATCTGAAGAATAGATCCTGGGTGGGGAGGATTATTTCCTTATGCCCTGGGTATGATGCAGTCTGCATCTTGAACCACCCAAAGATGAGACCATCTGGACATGGTGGCGCATGCCTATAATCCCAGCACGCAGGAAGCTGAGGCAGGAGGATCACCATGAGTTTTAGACTAGCCTGGGCTACATAGTGAGTTAAAGGCCAGCCCAAAATACACAAGGAGACCCTGTCTCAAAAAAAAAAAAAAAAAAGGGCGAGACCTGAGGAGAAAAGAAAGAGTCAGTGCTTAGGGGAAGGTGTAGGAAATCTGACTTTAAACCTAATCCTCCCTTCTCTATTTTTCTCTAAAACTAGGCTTATCTTCCCTAATTCCAAATGTAAATTTCAGTCCTCAGAGCAGGGTTGTGGGGTGAGGAGGGTGGGGGAGTGTCACAGATCACAGAATCACAGAATGTCAGCACTGGGATGAACCTTAGATTTGAGCCACCCTCCCATTATTAGATGAGACATTGAGGGTCAGGGAATGAAAGGGACTTACTTGAGTCCATATAAACAGGTAATAGAACTAGAACTAGAAGCCGGCTTTCCTGACTCATATTCTACTGCTTCCTGTTTCTCTGGTGGGACAGCTGACCTCCACCCTCCCAACTCAGTGGACACAGAAACACCTCATGTCTCCCCAGTCGTCCAGCCCCTTGCTTCCAGCAGCTCCTGGCCCCCTAGGCCTCACCACCTGATACCTGGAGAGAGTTTGCTCCAGGAAGGCAGCATTCTGGCTGACAGCATCCACTAGCACATTGAAGTCCATCTGCACAGCATAGGCTTGCTCCAGCAGGGCCCGGGGCACCCGTGAGGGAAGGAGCGTAAAAGGAGCATAGCTCACCACCTGGTCAGTGAGAGAGTGGGGCAAGGGTAGAGACCTGTGAATGGTGTGTCTAACAAAAAAGAGGTACATAGATCCAATGCATAATCCTGTGCTGAAGATACTGTTACTATTCATACTTCAAAATGAAAGGACCTGAGACAGGAGTTAGGCAATAGGTTCAGAAATATATTCAGCTGGTAAGTGGTGCTAGGATTTGGGTCAGGATAGTTATTAGCCATGCTCACAGAAGTTCCAGCTGGTTGATATTCGAACCAGGGCTCCTCCTAGGAGCTCATATATCCAATCCCCAGTCTTCTAGCTAGGACAGAGGGATAGTGCTGCTGGTAGGACTGCAGCAGAAGCGAACTCTGGCTCCCTGAACAGAAGCCAGGAGTGGTTAATGGGCCTGGAATTCAGACGCTCACTGGATTCCATTGAATTTTTTTTTTTTTCCCAGTACTGGGGCTTGAACCCAGGCCTTCACACTGAGCTATATCTCCAGCCCTTTTTTCTTTCTTATTTTGAGACAGGGTCTTGCTAAGTCAATAAGTTGCCAAAGCAGGGATTAAACTTGTGATCCTCCTGCCTTGGCAGCTTACCAGAGTGCTGGGATTACAGGCATGTACCACCACATCAAACTGGGATTCTTTGGACTTTGACATAGCCAAACTCAAGTACCATCAAGGGCACTGCTTCTAGAAGGGGAAAATGTATTCTGAGATTGCCAACAACAAATGAATTAGAACTTGGGTAAAGATGATAAGAAGTCCTGTGACTGACTTATAAAGAATTTCTGAGTTTAACCTTTGTGTTAATATCAGTTTTCCATTATAGTGGTACAGTTTATGGTGCTAAAACTTGGAATTCATAAACCAGGCATGGTGGCACATGCCTGTAATCCCAGACTAGGAGAAGGAGGCAGGAGGATCACTGTGAGTTCAAGACCAGCCTGGATTACATAGCGAGTTCAAGGTCAGTCTGAGCTACAAAGTGAGACCCTGTCTCAAAAAACAAACAACAATAGCAAAGTGTTTGGAATAGTGCCTGACACACAGTAAATAATAAATGATAGCTAAAATTATGCAGCATGCTGCCCATGTTTCCCTTACAGAGCTGACATTATTTAATTTTGTGTTGTGATACATTCTCCAACTAGACCTGAAATTCTAGAGGCTAGCACCTCTGGCTGATCCACCTCTGTCCTCAGTGCATAGAGGGGGACCTGGAAAGATTTGAAATGAAATCATGCACGTACATTTCCCATCCTTCTCTGAGTTAGAAATCTCTTTGAGGAGTGTGCCTTTTTTAGGGTCTATAAGTTCCCAGAAAGATCAAGTGTTGGAGCTTCATATAATATCTATTTATTAACAGGAGAAATAAAAGCTTGAAAGGGAAAATATTTCATCTTGGATTCAGACAGTTTGCAAGATCTAAGTTCACAACCCAGGCAATTCTATTCCCAAAGCTAGAGGCAGACTTTCCACAGAATTAGCTGACCTCATGTACATGGATTTCAGGAAATATTCACTGAGTGTGAACTCCCCACATCCTGGCTCTGTAGGAACCAATAATATGAATGCTCTTAAGGTATATTGAGTTTTTCTTAAAAAAGCAATTACAGAAGGACTTGTCTAGTGTGCTTCTTTGTGTACGAACTGGAAAAGGAAATAGCTATTTACTTGTGAATAAACTACCTGAAAGAATTAAGAATGCTAAAGCACAAGCTGTCTCCAGGTATCAAGGAAATGTGGCAAGGAGGGTTATCTTGTAACTATAATTTTGAACCACGAAAGTGTTTTCCTTAGTCACAAAATTTAAAAAGTTTTTGTTTTCTTTTTTTCCTCCTTTTTTTTTTTTAATTGTTTTTGAGATGAGGTCTTGTTTTTGAGATGAGGTCTTACCTGGCCAGGTCACTTGTGGGCTCAAGTGATCCTTCTGCCTCAGCCTCTTGAGTGTGGGGACTATAGGTGCAAACCACTGAAGTTGGCCAAAGGATGGAACTTTCGTTTTTTTAAAAGATATGGCTTAGACTTAGCAGTTCTACTTTTACATATCAACCCTAGAAAAACTACATATACCTGTGCCCCAACAGGCAGGCATGTGGATGTTCCCTGTTGTGCTATTTGTAGTCACAAAAACTTTAGAAGTCATCTCGATAGCCATCAGTAGAGGAAAGTTAAACTGTGACCCATCCAAATCTGAAATACTATGCATCAGAATGAAACTGACTGTAATGGAAGGCAGCAGAAAGAGTTCAAAGAGAGACTGTTAAGTGGAAAACAAAAACATATCATAGAACAGTACGTATGAAACAACTTGTTTAAACTACATGTAACTATATACATATATCCATGTATATAAATACACAAATACCTGAAAGGATATATCACAAACCAGTAACCGAAGAGAGTAGTATAATTGGGAGTTTAATAAATAATAGTTTCCTGGACACAGTGCTTTAAGTAAATTATCTTCTAATTTTCTTACCTACCAGTTAGGTAGGAGCTATTATTAACCTTTCAAGATCTGAAGAAAGTGCGGCTGAGAGATTAAGAAACTTGCCTAAATCACACTTCAACCCCTGATTTAAATCTGATTTCTCCAACATGCTGCTCTTTACATACTTTTAGAGATCAAGTTTAGCCACAGAATAAAATGAAATAGAGCAAAAGAGTCATGCTCTAAACCAACAGAGCTGCCCCCAGCTGGGCAGGGGCCGCACAGGGGACAGTGGGATCTGAGCAGTGTGGGCAGTGCCGTGGGGAGGGCAGGACTTACTTCAGAGGAGCTGGGTTCCTGCGCGGTCCTCAGCAGCACTCCCTCAGCCAAGGCCCGGTCCACGGCCTGCCGAGCAAGCACCTCCAGCTGATGCTCGTCCTGCAAGAGGCTCTCCCAGCTGGTGTCCATGTCAACCTGTGACAGAGAGATTGGTGACAAATGGCCTATGGCCCAGCAACCACTGAACCTGGTTGCTGGCCACCCCCAATACTGTGGGACACTGGCCAGGTCCCATGAAAGGACTGTGTGGTACAGGAGAGTGGACACTGGCTAGTCCTAGCTCTGAGCTTCCATGTACACAAACAGATTGACAGAGCTTTCCCAAGGTATGACAATGGCATCACTGTCACTGCAAGAAACAGGAGGCTCAGAGGGGTGAAAATGACTTGCCTAAGTATGACTAGAAAAGCCTGGACTTCAACTCAGATCCCAGCCCAATACTTTTCACTGAGAAAGAGGCTGCAGAGACAAAGTGAAACAAAGGAGATGGAGTAGATCACTGATTTCCTGTCATGGCTAAACATTCTGGGTTGCCTGGGGAAAAATACAGATTCCTGAGCCCTGCCCCAGTAATTCTTAAATTAAAGAGATCTTAAATTTCTGTATTTTAAATAAATTTTTACAGAATAGGAACAAGTTAAATAGATTATTAACTCCTCACTCCAGCAACTCATGCCAACAGATCTCAAATAAACTGCCTAGGAGGCAAAGAAGGAGCCCTACAGACAAGGCGAACTTCTCCCTCACGCTAATCAGAAGCAAACTGATAAGCAGGACATGATTATATTCTACATATGGACATCTATCAGCAAGGTGGCAAAAGACAGCAAGTACTTTTTAGAAATCACCTTACTAGCATAGAAACAACAAAACCCAAATGCTCAGTGTAATAGGAGGATGAGTCTGACTGATTGCCCAGAGACACACAGAGATGTATCGACTTACACTTTGCTACTTACTCACTTTGCAGCAGACTGCAGGGTTTTAGGAAGAAGTAGATAAAACCTGGAAATACTAGTCACTAATTTTGTTCTGCTCTACTGTCATTTAATTTTAAGGACAGAACATGGCTGTCCAAGTCAGTGGTCTCCGGGAAGAGTTAGAGAGAGAGAGAAACCTCCATCACAATCAGCTTTGTCTCCCTCTCCTCATAACAGAGCTGGATTTAGACCAACTATATGAGTCTGCCCGCCTCAGCACAATGTTTTAAATGAATGAGCACGTGATCTCAAAAGGATCCTGACAACAAACATATCCCGTTAGAGGTGGATAATAATGGTAAAGTACAAGGCTCTGGAGTCAGACAGATCCAGGTTTGAGCCCATATTATTATTACTTTTATAAGTAAGGTCAAAGTGTGGATTAAATGAAAAAGACCAGTGACAAGTGTCTCAGCATGTTGGGAGCTTATTAGTCCATTTTCTTTTACTATAATGAAATATCTGAGGCCGGATAACTTCGTAAAGAAGACCTTTTTTAGCTCAGTTTTGGAGGGTCAAGGACAAGGCAGTGGTGAGGACCTTATGGCAGATGGCACTACAATGTTGGGAATGTGAGTGAGAGACAGCCAGAGAAAGCGACTTAGATATCAGGCTCATTCTTATAACTAAGGGTCCCACAAGACCTGTCTTCGTCCTCCTTCCAACTGGCAGCTCTCTCAAGGACCAAAGGACCGCCCACTGGGTCCTACCTCTTAAAGGTCCAATCACCTCCCAACACTACCACACTGGAGACCAAGCCCCAAACACATGAACCCTTGTGGGCACACTCACTCCACATCCAAACCACAGCAAAACTATACATGGAAGCTTGGCAGGGGCGGAAGGGGGGCACTATATCCACTGCACAGGTGGAAGGAAACTTCTCAGCAGTCACTCAGCAGCCTGGTGGAAGGAAACTTCTCAGCAGTCACTCAGCAGCCTGGTGGCAAAGCCACGACTAAAAACATGACACTGACATTAGACCAATGGGACCCTTTATTAGCCCTCATCTTTTCACAACTCTTACGTTTCCAACATCTGTATGCTGCTGGGCCTTTGGTGGGCAAAGACTGATTTGCATTTAATAACAGAACCCTGACTAGGTAGTGGGAACAGAAGATAAGACAAAAATAATCACTATGTAAAGGGCTAGCTGGGCCCTTTGTTCTACTCATTCTATAGACTCAGCCTTTCTCGTGGTTTTGTTTTACTTTTGCTGATGACACTCAAATCTATATTTTCACATCAGTATTTTCGTGATTCCCAAACTAGAATATCCAACTGCTTCCTGGGAGTCTCCACACAACCATAAAATAATTTGTTGTCTTCCCCAAAATCTGCTTCTCCTCTAATGAACCTCACCCTGGTCTCCTGTGTACGTCTTTCCTACACTCTATACTCCACCTGTGGATTCCGCTGCCTAAATGCATAGCTTTGAACTCTTTTTTTGTCTGTCTCCACAGTTAGCAGTCAAGACCTCCCCGTCCTCATTTCTTCCCTAGGCACTAAACAGACTGAGTGGAGCATCTTCAGTGACCTAAATATGCCAGCCTTTCTTCCCCTTTCAGGTCTTTGCAGGTGCTGTTTTCCCTTCGGGATACTCCCCACTACTCCTAATTTAGTTTTGGAAGTCGTCCTGTTCTTCTCTATCCGGAGCTTCTACAGTCCATTACTTTCCCCGGTATCATTGGGGTAGCATTTGCCTTGATCACTTCTCTACCTAGTATCAGCGCCTAGCAGTATATTCAATGAACGTTCAGTAAATGAATGAATCACCAAAAGCTTAAAACGCCCACAAGGAAATCCAGTCGGACTTTATCCTGAGGGCGAGGTCAGCGCCTGCCCAGGGAGCGGGGCAAATGCCTAGGCTTGCCCACTTGACGGCCGATCACTCATCTTGAACAAAGTTTGGTCCTAATCTATCTTACTGTTTTAGATTTTTTTTTTTCTTCCTTTCTTCCTTTCTTTTAACTCTGACTCTAGTCTCATTGGCACGGTGTCCCCGACACTAGCTCGATCTGGAAGCGAGAGATCTGGAAAATCTAGAATCAACACGCGCCAGCCCAACCCCCTCACTGGACACAAGTTTGTTTTCCTGTGCCAGCGACGTGTTTCAGCTACAAGATCTCCCAGTCTCCAGCGTTCCAATTCCTCGCCAGACCCCTCCCTCACATCTTTCCTCCCGAGGAAACGTGACCCTTGCCAGCCTCCGTTGCCGAGCACCAACCTACTGGTTCGTCGTCCAGCCGCTCACCGCACTCCGGGCCCTTCCGCCGTTACCAAGGCTCAGGGGGCGGGGCTTCGGGACACCCCAGTGCGCTTGCGTGGACCGCCCTCGGCGGATTTAAGGAATAGGGCGGGGAGGAGAGATCAAGGCCTTTGGAGCTGGACGGCGGCCGGGAAGGGGCAGTCCGTGTGAGGGCCACCTTGGCTTTAGGGGTGCGTCGGCTGCACTCAGGCGTATCGGGCCTTTGGAAATACGGGAGGGGCCAGGCTGGGTCGGTGGGGTGCCACGGGTGTGCTTAGTTCGTACAGTGTGAGAGCTGGCGACGTCCGGTGTAAGATAGGGAAACTCAATGCACCGATTGGGACAGTCACGTGAGGGACACCGTGGGCAGGGGTGGTGGTAGGCCCAGAGATGGACAGAGACTGGCACAAGGTTGCATAGCACGTTAGGAGCTGAGCTGGTATGGGAGCGCAGGCTCTTTCCCAGCCCTGTCAAGTCCCAGAAAAACCTACTGTTTTTTCTCACGTGGGACAGCAACGGAGAAAGCCTTTCAGGCAAAATGTAAGCATTTTCATTTTTCCAGAAATTGGGAAGTCAGAACTGTATGATAGTAACCCAGTGTTTCTCATACTTCTTCAGTACCACTTGCATCAGGATCTGGAGCGTTTTTTTTAGATTCATGATCCTGCCTCCACCCGACCCCTTGTCAGCACCAGTGCCTTAACTGTTTCACTCGGAAGCACCTGATAAGAACTTTAAAATGAACTGTATCAGTCCAAGCCCTAGGGAATTAGCCGTGGGTAAAACACAACATCTGCTTTCTACCTGATTAAGAAGGTAAACAGGCTGGGTGGGGTGGCCCACACTTGTAATCCCAGCACTTGGGAGGCTGAGGCAGGAGGATTACTGCAAGTTGGAGACCCTGTCTCAAAAAAAGAAAAAAAAAAAAGACTACTTTTCTAAAGGATTCAGGGAAGACTTTCTGGGTCTTGAATGCATAAGTGGTGAAGGACACAAGAGTGGAGGTGTGAGGTAGAAGGCTCCAAGTGTCAGGACCAAAAGCAGGAAAGGCATATAATCCTTACTGTTTCTGGACTTGTTTTTGTTTTATGGATATGCAGGAGTTGGTGTAGGAATACCTGGAGTTCAGAGCAGAATATTAGGAGCTCAGTTTTAGACAGGTAGCCTTGGAAGTGAGGTCAAGGAGTTTGGTGGTTATTTAGTGGGCAAAGAGACTGGCAAAAGGTGCTAAGCAGGGGAAGGATGCAGTCACTTTTGTGTGTTAGGTGCTCATTACAGTGTGTCAGATAGCTTGGAAATGGGGAGACTAGGGCCAGAGAGATCAGAGAGAGCTAAGGTGTGAAATGATGAGGCTGAGCTAACCAGTGGCTGCAGAGATGGAAAAAAGGGACTACAAATTAAAAAGAGCTTCAGAAGGGAGAACTGTGACTGACTATAACCCAGGAACCAAGATCCTTCCAGTTCCTTAGGTAAAGCATGCACAGAACAGCTGAGCCCTCTAATCCTCTTGTGTGGATGGAGGCAATCTAGTTATTGCCAGAACGTGTTTGCTGATGCCTTTTCCTTGTGTTCTTCTGCACCTGGCTTTGATATGAAGCAGCAGCTATTAGAATAAGTCAGAGGTAGCAGAAAAAGGCCATTGTATTAACTGGGAACAAAGAAAGCTATTGCTAGAGCAGCCAGAAATTAAAAATCAGAACACATGACCCAGAGTTCTCTGTGAAGGGTCCCCTTTCCAAGATGGTGGTGCCCAGTGACACATATCCGGTGTCTTGTGGAGAGATTTGAGGAGGATCCCAGACCTTAACACCTCTGTGGTTGAATCCCCTCACATTGTGTCGGGTAAGATGGCTTCATTTCCATGTTGTAGGTGGAGTAGCTCAGAAGTTATGTGACTTGTACATGATGACTCCATTTGTGGTGGGACTGGGTCTTTCAGCAAGACTTTGGCTTTCCTGCCTCCTTTGCCTGACTGCTTACCCCTAAATCCTGGCAGGACTGACTCCCTGTCATTCAGAGGTTGCTTCCTTAGATGGCTGTAATCTGTTATTACACTATGTGGTGAATTTCCTTAGTGCCTGAAATTGTCGCTTTTATTTGACTGTTTGTTTTGTTTTGTTTTGTTTTGTTTTTCTCCGGTACCGGGAACCGAACTCACGATCTTGCGCTTGCCAGGCAGGCGCTTTGCCACTGAGCTAAATCCCCAGCCCTGAGCTAAATCCCCAGCCCTTATTTGACTGTTGATTCATTCTACTGGAATGTAAGCTCCATCAAGACTGGGCCAGTCTCTGGTTCACCACTTTACCACCCCTTTCCAGCACCCAGAATTGTGCCTGCCACTAGGTAGATGTCCAGTAATATTTATCCTTAGGTTGGGGAGAGAAGAATGGAAACTGACATTTCATGAAAGTTTAGGATGTTTCAGGTACTTTGCACAAATCCCCTCATATGATCCCCTCACACCCTTTCAAGGTAGATACTGAGTGGATAAGAATTATGCTAAGGAGGTTGTCAGTGTTTGTTACTTTTGAGACTCAGACTTTTTTGAGACTTTCCATCAGACACAAACTTCTGCATATAGAGTGTGGAGGAATTCACAGGGCCACTCAGGAATCTCAGATGAAGAAACTCAGAATGGAGGATCTTGTCCAAAGTCTTTATGGCCACAAGCTTTTGCTGGTTTCTCACTCTACAGCAAGGACAGATTCCATTTAGTGTACTGCAAGAAGCCTGTTGAAGATTCTGGAGCAGAGGAAATGAGGCACTGAGCCTTTACTATTTAAGGTCTGGGTTGAAATCCTGACTCTGCAACCTAGCAGTGTGACTTGAGCAAGTCCTCTCACCTCTCTGAACCCTACTTGCCTCGATTTCAAAATAGAATTTATTTTTTTCCTAATAATAATAATTGCTCTTCACTGATTTGATTACTGAGTGCCAAGTACTTGGCTAATGACTATAGTTATTACATTGCTTTCATCACAACCCTATGAGGTGGTACTGTTCTGAGCTCAGAAGTATTATGATCTTCATTTTACAGCTGGGATAGTGGAAGCTTGAAGAGATACACTGACTTGCCAGAGATTGCAGAGCTTGACACTGGTAGCCACCGTGGTCCCCCAGATACACCTTGGGATGTGTCATAAGCTCAAGCTTCCCAAAGCTGACTGTTGAATCCACTGCAGTGTCTATTCTAGGGTTTGGGAGAACATTTGATTATGAATTAGGTGGAAAAAAAAAACAAAAAACAAACAGGGCTGCCCTGCAGTGTGAATGGAGACTGGTCCCTTAATGTTCTGCCTTGCCTTTGCACCTGGGCAGGCCTCTCTCCACATCTGTCCTGGGCCGGACTGGAATATCTCTTCCGGTCCCAGGTTCTGCATCAGATGTGGTCTGCATCTATGCAGGTGATTGTTCTCTTTTTAGTAGTGACATCACTCCGCCTGGCAGCATGGTTTATGAGGCTATCTCTCCACCTGGCTGTGGGCCACAGCTTTGGCCATTCAGAGGGAGATTTCTCTGTCTTCCCGCCCCTAGCAGGGGCCTGGCCCAGGCTTGCTGCTCAGGAAATGCCTGTGGAATTAAAGCGAGGACTGTCCCATGTGTTGAGGATTTACCGTGTGCCAGGCCTGTCCCTGACACTTTATATGTGCTATTTCATTTACAGTCCTGCAGTAATCCTAGAAGGGAGCAGTTATCATCCCTATTTTACTGAGAAGAAGCAGACTAGAGAAGTTGGAGTTTGCTTTAGGCCCACTTTCAGTGGCTGATGGCACCAGGACTGGTGCTAGGGCCTATGCTTTCATCATGCATGGTGAGCTCTTAGAGGGTTGTTGGCTGACAGGGCAAGACACACTTCTAGGAGTCGGGTCCTCAAAGACCTTCTACTCACAAACTTCTAGTCCAGTTCTCATTTTATCTATGCGCAAAGAGGAACCCAGAAAGGAGAGATGACTTACTGTCAGTCTCTTTTCTCCAGTTTTCATTTGCTTTTGGGCAGGATGGGACCTGGTTTTACCCGTCATTATATCAGTCAGGTCGATCCAGGTCAATACTGAGTAAATACATTTAAATTTTATTTATTTTGAAAACATTGGGAAAGATATAAAGACGAATGTAACAAATGCGTGCCTACTCTACAGCTTGCAAAATAAAACTTTGCTAATATAGTAGTGCCTGTTATCCATGAGGGATACATTCCAAGACTCAGTAAATGCCTAAAACCACAGATAGCACTACACTATATATATATATATATATATATATATATGATATTTTCTCCATGCATACATACATGCCTTGATAAAAATTTAATTTATAAATTAGGCACAGTAAGAATTTTTGGGGGGTTTTGGGGTATTAGGATTTTAAACATTTTTGTATACATTTGTAGTACATAATGATTACATTCACTGTGGGGAATGGGGAGTGGGTTTATGTACGTAACATATCTTAATTCTTTTTATTCTGCTTGGCTTCCCCTTGCTCCCTCCTCCCTCTACCTCCAGATTCTCTTCCCATTTGCAGAAGATATAGTCTCCCTGTTTTCTATTGTCTTTTATTTTGCTTTTTAAATTTTTTAGACTTTGAGTTTTTCACCTAAGAGAAGCTATGTGATATTTAAGCTTGCATGTCTGATTTATTTCACTTAATATTATGGTCTCAAGGTCCATCCATTTTTCTACAAATGACTCAAATTTATCCACTACTATTCCATTGTGTGTAAGTACCACATTTTCTTTATCCATTCATCTGTTGATGGATATATAGGCTTCTTCCAAGAGTTAGCTGTTATGAGTTGTGCTGCTCACGGGTATGCGTGTTTCAGTGTAGTATGATGTCTTTTCCTCTTTTGGGAAGATACCTAGAAGGGGAATAGCTGGGTCAAATAGAATTTCTAATTTTAATTTTTTGATTAATCTCCATTCTGATTTCCATAATGGTTGTACTAGTTGACATTTCCACTAACAACGAAGAAGAGGGGCACAATAAGAGATTATTGATAATAACTAGTGACAAAATAGAGCAATTATAATATATTGTAATAAAAGTTAAAGTTTA